ATTGTATAATGGGCCCCAAAACCCTTTTCTGATTGTTAAGGCCCCTACAGTAGACGTTTCTGGGCTTTCACCCGCAGTCTGGCTGTGCGGTGGAGAAAAACGTGGGTGTTGGGTCTTCAACACTGAGTCCCAACCCTAAAATGCAACAAAGCAACTACTTTCCAATAAGCTGCAAACCCCTAAACGCCTTCATAAACCTCAAACCCGTTTCCTAAACTCCAACAATCATTGTTGAAGCTGTTGTGAAACGCACGCACCCCTGAGCCCCAAAATAGACCCCACCCTTACCCCTCAATAGAAAGACAGACATCAGAGCAAAACATTAACATGCTCTTCAACCTCTGTGATGGGTTTTGACAAACAACCTAAACCCCGAACCCGGCAACTTGGGCAAAGAGGAGACTGGGCCGAAAGATCCGTCAAAGAGGCAGCGAGTGGAGGTGAACTTGAACAGCTTCCAAGCTGATTCCGGGATATTCAGGGTTAAGGCTTGGGTTCAGGATTTCGGGGATAGGGTGTCGGGGGTCGAGGAGGGGGCATTGTAACTCAGGGTCTCGACGCTACCTTCTTTGGGTCTTGTTGAAGGGTTTTTTGGCACGCTACAGAGGGCTCTAGGGTCTTACCTGGCTTACTTGGCTGTGGTCGGGTCATGTGTTTCGTGTCCAGGGATTTGGGACTGTGGGCTAAGGCTTTGAGTCTTGAGTTGTTATAGGTGTGGAGAGGAGCTGAGATCGGAAACTTTCGGGTTTGTTCGCTCTTTTTGTGGAGGCGGACCTTGCCAAACGAATTCTGGAAGGGTGAGCTGCTGCGGTCATATAGCATATAGAAGATGCTGGTACCTCGTCATATGTGTCAACCGCTGCGCAGAATCATTCCTTGCAGAGGCGCAGACGCGTAGATTGATCGATCGACTATGTCTAAAGTAGACGCTCGGGTCGAGTCGCAGGTTGCATGTTGTGCGAAAATCGGGTTTCAGGCCGAAGATGACAGTTATTGCATCGGGTTTAGGGTTTAGGATAAGGGGAATGGTTCGTAGTTGAGGGTGATGGACGGCACTCTAAACCCTGCGTGCACAGCCGTAGAGGCTTAAAAGTTCTAAAGCAACATAAAAGCCGCAAACCCTGAAATCCTAAACTCTGAACGGTTTTGGGGTGCGCGCTCCCACCTGAGGCTACAACCATACGCCTGCGTGGTTGTCTGCGAGCGAGTGGTGGAGCGAGCTATGCCGATGGGAGGACGGGCTCGAAGCCGCAAAAGGCAGTAGGGCTTTAGGGTTTTAGGGTTTGGGGTCTTAGGGCTTAGTGTTGAAGGTATATTGTAGGTATATGCATAGAAACTGCTAAGGAGCGTCCTGTACCCATATGTAAAATGACAGGATGCTAAGCATGTCTTTGCCCAAACAAGAGAATGGTTCGTACTGAAGCAGGATCATCTCGTCGCTGGAACTCTGGCCACAGATGCATTGACAGCCCAGCCTGCTGAATTGCTTTCCTTCGAGTGGTGCCTGGAGCCTTGTCTGCAGCCCTTTAGTTTCATATTGGAGGGGTCCCTTTTCACGGGTATTATAAGCGTTCTAAAGGCTGTTTGCCTGGAGCCTGAACTCTCGACTTTAAAGTTAGGCGGGTGGGAGTTCATCCCAAACCTCGAGCCCCAAACCCCGAAACCTAGCTTTGGCACATGCGCATCAAAGAGCACCGTGTTCCACTTCCAGTCAAGCCCGTACTTCTAAACTCCTGAATCAAAAGCCCAAAAACATCGAAGCCTGAAAGTTCAGCACCACTATTCCCTTGCATCCTATTTGACTAAACTACAAGATAGCCTCGACCCTGTTGTAAGTATTACTGCCCCTATATATTGAAGCGCAAGTATGGCTATGTATGTATGTATGTATGTATGTATGTATGTATGTATGTATGTATGTACGCATGCATGCATGCATGTATGTATGTATATATGTATATGTAGGTATGTATGTAGGTATGTATGTAGGTATGTAGGTATGTAGGTATGTATGTATGTATGTATGTACGTATGTACGTATGTATGTTTGTCTGTATGAATGTATGCATCAATGTAGGTATGAAGATATGAATGTATGTATGCGTATATGTATGCCCATATATGTATATATATATATATATATATATATATTATAACCTCATACATACACAGACAACAGCAGTAGTAGCGATAATACGAGTGAGAACACGAAGAAGGAGAATGTGAGAGTGAAGCAAACTATACGTCTAGGCATTTAGGATCTGGGTTTCGGGCTTAATAGCTGTTAAGAGTTCCGGGCGTTTTTGAAACTTGAGCATAGATGGGTGCCGGCTGCGGGGCCGAAACCCCCCAAGCCCTGCTGAAATTCCAGAATTTCAGGTTCTCCGAGACTCTGGTGGTATGTAGGATCTATGTTAGCCAAGCAGGTTTTTGCTTAAAGTTCATGGGGTCAGGTTTCCCATATGTCCCGAAAAAAAAAACATCCCTTAGCGCTAAGCCCGCAGTCGGCGATCATGCTTGTTCCCGCTATGTTCTCGGCTTTTTGTGTGTTTGAAGCTCCATACTTCAAACGACGAGCTTCGGCATGTATCGCACACTTGATGCGCACATTCCCTCATGAGCAGTACGAAACTAATAAGCGTTGCGCCAGTGCCTGACCTCGAAGCGAGGTCGATGATGAGCGCCTTGGCAGATTGGAGAGCCTCAGATTCTGGAGTTCCCTATCGGCCCGTTTTAGCGTAGCAGCTGGGTCTGTGTTTGCGGGAGGCATCTCTGCTTTTCAGGGGTTTCGCTCGCTCTGGGAGCTGGGCAGAGGACGCCCAGCGGTGCTGAGCTTGCTAAACACGAGTTTTGTCGTATGCATATACATACATACATACATACATACATACATACATACACAGCTGTACATGTATGTGTGTGCATATATATATANNTATATATATATATATATTATAATCGTTTCCCCTGAACACTAAACCCCCCTAATATGATAAGTGCCGGCCCCCAGAATTTCGTGATTTCGGGGCCACAATTGAAGGTTAGTTAAAAACATTGGGGGGGGGGGGGGCCCAGGGATTGC